TCTTGATCTCTAGAATTTACTATAAATATAATTGCTGTTTTAAATTTTTATTTTTGATAATTCAATATTATTTTTGGTCCCTTGGGTTTTGAATAATCAAAGTTCAACTGTATAAATATAAAAAATGTGTTTGTTGAAATGTATCCTGGAAGAATAGGGTCAGGAACAGTAGTTATATATACAGTGGATATAAAATGATAAAATATAATGAGAGGAGATTATAAAATGACAATGGAGAATATTTGTAGATTTGACATAGTGATCCTAATTATATTTGTGGGTTTTTAAAATTGATAGTAATTATGATATTTCTTTCTGATAGAAAATATATCACTGTGGTTTAAACAAATTTATATATGCCCATATTTTATTGGATTTGATAAAATATTTATTAAAGGTCTCTGTGTCTATCTGGTAGCGGCAGGTTCGACCAACCAACACACAGTTGATTGCTACTCCACCAAGGTTACTAGAGAACACAATCAAAATACAATATTTATATCGAGCCAGGGTATTGACACCTCCACCTCTCTGATGGAATGACACCTCAACTTCAATCTTCTCTCCTCCAACTTTACACTTGTACCTAACATTGTACTCAGTGTCATCTATATTCCTAACTATCTCCTCTGATCTATCTTGGGAGAACTCAGCCCAATTACACAAATGATATAACCAGAAGTATATCCATTTATCTCTGTGATCTCCATCTCCATACAGATATTTCATGATGTTATTATCCAAGTCATTAGATCTTTCACCAGGAGGAACCCAGTTCTGGACACCAAGTGTAAGGTCAAGCCCCACCTCTGCCATTTTCACAGGATTCCAAAAATCTTGACATTTGACATCACAGCAGGTGGTGGCAGTAGTTTGGAGCACAGTGGCCGGTTCTTCCTTAGTACCTTGTAGTTCTGTTTTTACACTTGCTAGTTCTTCTTTAATATCTTGTAGATCCTTCTTCAAAGAATCCATTTTTTTTTCATTAACATCTACACCTTTTTTAACAATTTCTAGTCCTTCCTTTATGGCTTCCAGTGTATTGCTGGAGGTCTGGGAACATCCCTGGAATGGGCAGGTGTTCTCCATGTTCTGGAACATGATCCACACAGTTGGAGAACAATTCAAAGTTACAAGTTGAACATGTGTAATCAAGAAATTTGGTAGCAAAGAGATAAAGTATTTTATTAATCTTTGTGAGAGCAAAAACCAGAAGGCCAAATGTAGTGACATCACTAAAGTGGAATCTAAATGAAAGGTCACTCTCACTAGAGAAACCTCTCTATAAAGGACAGCTCTTATCAGCAAAATTACAAAATTTTCTAATTACCAACTCTCTTTCTAACAGTTACTTTGGGTCTAAATAGACGAAGAAGAGAATTTCCTTTCAAATTTACAAATATAGGAACACTCATTTCTTTGGCAAATTGAGCAGCTGGAGTTCCATTAAAATATGATCAGGGTTGTCGTGATTGAACCAATTTCTATATGTCTCCACAAATTTTGTGATTATTTTTAAATATACTTTCAGACACATGGTGTAATTTAATATATAATGCTATATAATGTGGCTTATGATATAGAATGAAATTCGACAATTATACCGTAAATGTTTCTTTTAAAAGAAAAATCTAAATTTATTTTAAAGAGAAATAACGATTGTTTCTAACCTTAGGGATGAAGTATGATAGGATGAATTGTGAAGAGTAATGATAAATAGAAAATAAAGTATCCAGGGATAGGAAACGAACCCAGTGTTCTGCTTAGCGGGTAGATCCCATGTCCACTAGGCTACCCTGGTGATATGTATAATTCTAAAATTTTGTATTCACCAGTTAACAACCCAAGTGTACAAAATTTCTATATATCAGCTATGGTTTGTAATACACTATATAATTGAATTTGTATTTATCAAGTGTAGATAAAAGACGCAATCATTTGTGGTGTAATGAACAGCTGGCCTTCCATACAAATGTTGTTGTTGTTGTTTCTTATCTCCTTGTGTGAAGCTTACACAAATTCCATGAGTTCATGCTCCTTGAGCTGTCATGGAATGGCGTGTACCTTCCGTTGATCATGGCACCATGATACAAGCACAATTTTGTGAAATTCTGACTTTGCCTGTAATTTGAGGCCGTTCCTAACATGGAAGGTATAATATATTAACATGAATAAAGACACAGCTCCTCCGTTCCCTGGAGAGGGACCCTTGCTGAGGTCTATCAACCGGGTCTGTAGAACTCAGGATTTTCGAAGAGGTTTTTCTCATCTTCTAACAATGGTGCTGTTGGTCCATGACTGCTTATTCACCAAAGTTATTCTGCTTGTTTCACAGCTGGCCTTCATATCCCCTATCTGCCACCTGGGGCCGCACCCTGTAGCAGTCAGCTCTCCCGAGGGTCCATACAAATAAATCAGTAGTATTACCAAGATATAAATAATGGTCAGAATATTGTGTTAGAAATACTGAATAACCTCGTTAATTCAACACATGATAATCAACACTTGCAACTATTCGATGATATTTTCATGTCCACAATTCAAGTCTTTCAAATAATAAACGTTAAATCAACCAAACAAAAATCCGACAACATCAATGATTCAACCGATTTTTACCTTAATTTCAAAAGCAGGAATTATTCTTGTTTAATGATAAGCCACAATTTGGATTATAGATTATAAACACCAGGTAATAAAACCAAATCCAAATTTTATAAAAGTTTGTGACATTTCAGTAACAGTGTTGTTACCGAAAAGTCACACACTTTTTTTATTTGGATTTGTTCTTATTACCTTGTGTTTATTCTTGTTTAAATAATAATTTATTGCTAAAACACAACAGTTTTGACTCACAGTGCACTGCAGCTGTAATTAGTGTATGTGCACCATTCTTAAAAGTGTTACAATGAGCCTCAAATTTCTACGCAAACTTGCTGCCATTTTTGTCCCTCCTTGACATAATATAAGCCTAACTTAAGCACCTGCTAGTCACCTGCATGAGTTGTTTCGTAACATTTTGTTTTTTGAAATAAAAATACTGAAAAGGCAAGACATACATGGCTAGGAAAATTGATCGGCTAGAAAGCACACTAAATAGGGTTCCAGCTAAAAAGTAAACAACCACTACATATTAATTTAAAAGATAATGATTTATAAATAATTTTTTTAGCTTTTTCTTTATTTTCAAACTCTATTTGCTCTTTACCCATTTAATTTATTCATCTATATTAAAATAGCATTTGTAATTTTTCCTTTGTTCAAAAATTTACTAAAGCACTTTTATAATAACGAATAGATTCAAAAAGGATAAGTTTCTTTATTTATAAAATCAATTCGAGCTTTGGGGCGCAAGCTGCCCTTCTGCAGGAATAAAGGATACAATTTCAAATAGACATGTATGTACACATCTATATATTTTCTTTAAATGGTATCTTGCTTTGGTGTTGTATAGCGTGAGTGGATCACATACCCGCGTGATTTAGTTCAAATCAAAGAAAAGCCTTGATAAAGAGAGGAATAGTATTAGGAAAGACAAAATTCAGGATGACATGGCAATTTATTTGAGACAAGAATAATGATACAATTCCAAGGCAAGATACTATTCCTTTAACTTCCAATTAACGAGGGAACCAATTAATATTGATTCTATTCAACTTATCGAGTATTTTTCAAGGGACCGGGAAAAAATGTTCACTTTATCGAGAGATTCGTTAGACAAACCTTTACTCGGGTAAAACTCTTTTTTATCCATTATCCATTCTTTTTTTTTTTTGTACAAAGGGTTCAATGTTAATTCATTTAATTAGTTTACAATATTCTATATTGCCTGAAATTCTTTATTGCACTTATTATATTTATAAATGGTTAAATTTCACAAATATATTACATGCATAACTTCCCCTATTAACTTCCCCTAATACTCGATAAGTTGAATAAAATCAATATTAATTGGTTCCCTCGTTAATTGGAAGTTAAAGGAATAGTATCTTGCCTTGGAATTGTATCATTATTCTTGTATGGATGTACAATAATTTTATCCATTATGTTAAATAGCAAAATACAAGGACATTGTAAGAAAATAACCCAAAGTAAGCCTCACACTCCAAGAGGTTAAAATTAATTTCTGTTAATCACAATTGTGGAGCGTTCCCAGTTAACGACAACTTTGGTAGGCGGCGCTGTACGTTGCCGGCGCCGTACCTTCGAGGCGTTTTACACGAGTTAAAAATACAATTTCGGTGAAATACTTTGAATTTTACCAATTTAAATATATAAATTTAAATTATAATTTAAAAAAAGATTCAACAGTTATAAAAAAAACATTTTAAAAATAAAATATTAAACTTATTTTTCTAAAAACGAACATTATTTTTTTAATTATCTGAAACTAACCTAATTCAACTTATCTAAAACTAACCTTATTTAGCGATTAAACTAACCTAATTTAACCTATTTGAATCTAACCTATTTTAATTATTGAAATTAACCTTTTTATAACACACCTTAAACTAACCGAATTTATAACCCATCTAAAACTAACCTATTTTACCAATTGGAATATACCATTACGTCATGTTATTAAAAATGTATTAAGATTTTTTTTTACAAAGTTTATCAATCACATCTTATACAATATTTGGAAAATAAATATAAAACTTGTGTATAAATATATGACTTGAAAATATGCCACTTAAAATATTTTATTCTAAACTATTCCGAGATTTTTTTATAGAGAGAAATAAAAAAAAATACATAATTGATTAGATACAAAAGTGCGAACCAGAAAGTCGATTTTTAAAAATGTTATTATTTAATATGAGCCTTATAAAGGACTGCGGCGAGTGATTATAAACAATACTTAAAGTTACACCGCATAAGTTTCTTTTTTGTGAAAAATCAATATTTATTTCAAAGAGAAATATTTACTATTTCTAACTTTTTTGAATGAAGTATGAGAGGGTGAAAATATGAAGAGTAATGGCGAACGGAAAAATAAAAGTGTCCAGGGGCGGGAATCGAACCCACAACCTTCTGCTTACCGGACAGGTGCCATGTCCACTAGGCTACCCTGGACGTATTCCTCCGTTCGTAAATAATATTTAAAGTAACTTATAATACATTATAAAAGGACTGCGGCGAGTGATTATAAACAATACTTAAAGTCACACCGCATAAGTTTCTTTTCTGTGAAAAATCAATATTTATTTCAAAGAGAAATATTTACTATTTCTAACTTTTTTTAATGAAGTATGAGAGGGTGAAAATATGAAGAGTAATGAAGAATGGAAAAATAAAAGTATCCAGGGGCGGGAATCGAACCCACAAATTTCTGCTTACCGGGCAAGTGCCATGTCCACTAGGCTATACCCTGGACGTATTCCTTCGTTCGTAAATAATATTTAAAGTAACTTATAATACATTATAAAGGACTGCGGCGAGTGATTATAAACAATATTTAAAGTTACACCGCATAAGTTTCTTTTTTGTGAAAAATCAATATTTATTTCAAAGAGAAATATTTACTATTTCTAACTTTTTTTAATGAAGTATGAGAGGGTGAAAATATGAAGAGTAATGGCGAACGGAAAAATAAAAGTGTCCAGGGGCAGGAATCGAACCCACAAATATCTGCTTACCGGGCAAGTGCCATGTCCACTAGGCTACCCTTGACGTATTCCTTCGTTCGTAAATAATATTTAAAGTAACTTATAATACATTATAAAGGACTGCAGCGAGTGATTATAAACGATACTTAAAGTCACACCACATAAGTTTCTTTTTTGTGAAAAATCAATATTTATTTCAAAGAGAAATATTTACTATTTCTAACTTTTTTGAATTAAGTATGAGAGGGGTGAAAATATGAAGAGTAATGGCGAACGGAAAAATAAAAGTGTCCAGGGGCGGGAATCGAACCCACAACCTTCTGCTTACCGGGCAGGTGCCATGTCCACTAGGCTACCCTGGACGTATTCCTCCGTTCGTTAAAAATATTTAAAGTAACTTATAATACATTATAAAGGATTTGAAATGAAAAGGTAGTGTAAAAATGTATATGAAGACCGTTTACATTTGCCCAAATATTATTCAGATGTAAAAAATCATTTTTATAAATAAACGGTAAATATAGATTGAAAAATATGAATTAAAAAAATATAGAGTACGAAATATTTCAATTCTATAGTTATATTTATATAAATTGTTTAAATATAAAGGGGGGACACAAAATATATCGCTCTTAATCAAACTCGAGTGTAAAACGCCTCGAAGGTACGGCGCCGGCAACGTACAGCGCCTCCTACCAAAGTTGTCGTTAACTTGGAACGCTCCCACATTTGTTTCTTTTTTTTTATGTGTACAAAGGGTTCAATGTTAATTCATTTAATTAGTTTACAATATTCTATATTGCCTGAAATTCTTTATTGCACTTATTATATTTATAAATGGTTAAATTTCACAAATATATTACATGCATAACTTCCCCTATTAATTTTCTAATGTTAAAAACTTATTGTCAAACTTTCTATGATAAAACGATTTAGTTACTTGACATTGGGTTTGTTTATAAAAACGATAATTTGATCCAAAATATACTCGTAAATTTTATAGTTAAAATATTAGAACAAAATATTTAAAAAGGCTGAGTATTGTAAAACTTGACGCGCGGGCAAATATACATATATATAAACGCTGACATCTTACCTGAATATACTTGAAGGCAAACCAAAAGTAAAATAATTACAACGTAGTTTCCTGCAACACATGGACACCTATCGCCATCTATCATCCAATTCGTAATTATTTAATATTTTGTGTTCAAGTTACTTTGATGAAAATACAATTGTGTTCCTCAACTTGTTGAATATTTGTATCAGAATTTAATATTACTTTAAGTGTTTGATAAACTCTCTCATTTAATTTTAAAAATTTGTTATAAACGTTTTTGTATTTAATTAGAAATCATATTTTATGGTTAGACATTATGACAAGAGTCAAAGTTATTTCATATAAACTTTAAAACGTGTGAATAATATTCAGGAAAATTTTATACACACAAAATTGATCATTTTTTATAATGCTAACATAATAAATATAAAAACCTTTTCAGTTTTAAACATGTGTTTAGAAAATACTTAATAAAGAAATATTTCTAAATAATAAATAAAATAAAACTAAGGAAAATTAAATAAACTTACTGTTTACAACAAATATCACAATAGCAAAAACAGAAAGTTATCTAAACAGGAAGAGAAACTAATATTAGTGCTACCATCTATCAATAAATTTGAAACTCTTTATAGTTTTTAATTTTACCCCGAGGTCCAGCAGATATAATTTAGACCAGAATGTAAGTTTCTAAAATTGTATTTACTAAATATTTATAAAATAATTAGCGGACGTACCCGGCTTCGCCCGGGTTTTACCCGAGTAAAGGTTTGTCTAACGAATCTCTCAATAAAGTGAACATTTTTTCCCGGGTCCCTTGAAAAATACTCGATAAATTGAATAAAATCGATATTAATTGGTTCCCTCGTTAATTGGAAGTTAAAGGAATAGTATCTTGCCTTGGAATTGTATCATTATTCTTGTATGGATGTACCCGGCTTCGCCCGGGTTTTACCCGAGTAAAGGTTTGTCTAACGAATCTCTCGATAAAGTGAACATTTTTTTCCGGTCCCTTGAAAAATACTCGATAAGTTGAATAGAATCAATATTAATTGGTTCCCTCGTTAATTGGAAGTTAAAGGAATAGTATCTTGCCTTGGAATTGTATCATTATTCTTGTCTCAAATAAATTGCCATGTCATCCTGAATTTTGTCTTTCCTAATTTTCTACATTACAAAATCATTGTATCATCATGATAATATTTAGAGCAGATTGTTGAATTATAACAGATAAATTATAATATTTATCTTGATTTTTAGGCGAAAAGTTATTTCAAAAATTTTATTTGCTAGAAACCTTCCCAGTACTATACTAAATAACTTCCCAAAGTTTCATGGCGTTCCATTGTGTGGTTTGGTCAGGCATAAAGGACAGACAGACACACACATACATTCATTTATATATATACTAGCGGATGTGCCCGGCTTCGCCCGGGTTTTACCCGAGTGAATGTTTGTCTAACGAACATTTGTTAAAACAATTCTCTATAAACTTATAAAACGTACTCGGCTTCGCCCGGGGTTTTACCCGAGTAAAGGTTTGTCTAGCGAACATTTGTTAAAACAATTCTCTAAAAACTTATTAAAAAAAAAAAGATATATTTTGATAATTTGAAACTCGTAAATTTGAATCTCTCGATAAAGTGAAGTTTTTTTCCCGGTCCCTGTGTGCCGTGTCATCCTGAATTTTGTCTTTCCTAATTTTCTACATTAGAAAATCATAGTTTTATCTAGTGAACATTTTTTCCCGTGTCACATTGCCGTGTCATCCTGAGATAATCTTACTTTTGATAAATAATATTTAAGATAACAAACTAAGTGATAAGAAAACTTGTTATCATCGTCACAATGGGGCGCTGCTTGCGAGGTTAAATCTACAAATCTGCAAATAACTCTAAGGATATTCAAGATATTCATGAAATTATTTTTCAAAAACCTTCCCGGTGATATACCTAATAATATCCCAAAATTTCACGGCGATTGGATGTATGGTTTTTGAATCTATAGAGTACAGACAAACAGACAGACATTCAATTTCATATATATAGATATATAGATAGAGATTTACTCTTCATTGTTGGCTTTTATATCTTACATTCATTCTTCATTGTTGGCTTTTTATATTACATTCACTCTTCATTTTTGGCTTTTTATCTTACATTCACTCTGTTGGCTTTTTATATTACATTTACTCTTCATTGTTGGCTTTTTATCTTACATTCACTCTTCATTGTTGGCTTTTTATATTATATTTACTCTTAATTGTTGCTTTTTATCTTACATTCACTCTTCATTGTTGCTTTTTATCTTACATTCATTCTTCATTGTTGCTTTTTATATTACATCACTCTTCATTGTTGGCTTTTATCTTACATTCATTCTTATTGTTGGCTTTTTATATTACATCACTCTCATTGTTGGCTTTTATCTTACATTCACTCTGTTGGCTTTTTATATTACATTTACTCTTCATTGTTGGCTTTTTATCTTACATTCACTCTTCATTGTTGGCTTTTTATATTATATTTACTCTTCATTGTTGGCTTTTTATTTAACATTCATTCTTCATTGTTGGCTTTTTATATTATATTTACTCTTATTGTTGGCTTTTTATCTTACATTCATTCTTCATTGTTGGCTTTTTATATTACATTTACTATTCATTGTTGGCTTTTTTATCTTACATTCACTCTTCATTGTTGGCTTTTTATCTTACATTCATTCTTCATTGTTGGCTTTTTATATTACATTCACTCTCATTGTTGGCTTTTTATCTTACATTCATTCTTCATTGTTGGCTTTTTATATTACATTCACTCTTCATTGTTGGCTTTTTATATCATATAGAAAATCATAGTTTTATCTAGTGAACATTTTTTTTCCCGTGTCACATTGCCGTGTCATCCTGAGATAATCTTACTTTTGATAAATAATATTTAAGATAACAAACGTGGTGTGTTTTTGGAATGTGAAGCTCTCTGATGAATCATCGAACCTTACAACATTCTGGACTCCCTTTGGAAGATACAAATTTCTTCGAATACCATTTGGATTAAAGACTGCTTCTGAAGAATACCAAAGAAGACTCTATGAAATCTTCCAAGGTCTTGAAGGAATTGAAATAATAGCTGATGACATTCTGATTTTGGGAAAAGGTGACTCATATGAAGAAGCACTGAAGGATCATGATAGAAATCTTGAAAATCTTTTCAAGACAGCCAGACAAGCTAATTTAAAATTCAACATCAATAAAGTCAAGCTCAGACTAAAAGAAGTAAAATATCTAGGACATATAATAACTTCACACGGATTAAAGCCAGATCCAGAAAAGTTAAAGCCTTTAAAAGAAATGCCTCATCCAGAAAGTATAGCAGAACTCAAAAGTTTCCTTGGTTTTGCAACATACC